ATCTGTCGGAGAGTGGCGGTGGTTACTTCAGCTCTCCAAGATGGTGGCCGCTGGTTTCCTTGGTGGAGTTTCCGTTGTGGGGGATAGAACTGTACCTCTTCCTTTCCCGTCTGAAATCCCAAACTCAGCCCGGGGGTCAGTGAGGGCTCAGCCGGCAGGATTCCACAGAATCCACAGCCACATTTCTCCCTGCTTGCTGGTCGCTTCTCGGCGGAGCCCCGCTGTCTGTAGCCGCTGTAAGGTATTTTTCATGATGCACGTGGGAGGGACCACCTTGGGCCTTCTAATAGTCGCTGTACTAAAGGGCAGTGGAGGCCCTTGGACTCTCTTAAGCTGTCTTTGCTGTTCCTCAGCAGCCTCTTTGAGCAGCACTGCCCAAAAGTCACATTACGTAGGCCACAGAGGTAATTAAAATATTTTAGTATCCATGTTAAAAGAGTAAAAAGAAATAGGTGGAATGAATTGAAGTAATATGATTTAATTCAATATGTCTAAAATACTATCATTTTACATGTAACAAATGTAAATATTTTATTTTTTTAACACCAAGTTTTTGAAATTTAATGTCTATTTTATACTTACAGGACTTCTCAGTTAGGTAGGGCCAGTTGTAGTTCAGGTGCTCAGTTGCCACATGTGACTAGTAGCTGCAGTATTAGGCAGTACATCTCCCAAGGTTTCTGTGCCTGGGATCCAGTGAGGGACATTCCTCTGAGACCATCAATATTACTGTAACTCAGCTGAGAGTGGATGTAACTTCTAGGCATCTCTAATCTAGACTCCCAAAGATGGTGTGTGAACATTTAGGAATGAAGAGGGACCGGTTTTCAGCATGGTCTGTGCCATCACCGCCTTCTTTTGTTTTTCCTCGGCAGGTGCCTCGTCTCCAGACATGGAGCCCAGCTATGGGGGAGGTCTGTTTGACATGGTGAAAGGAGGAGCAGGGAGGCTGTTCAGTAACCTCAAGGACAACTTGAAAGACACCCTCAAAGACACATCTTCTAGAGTTATACAATCGGTGGCCAAGTATGTGCATTCTTCCTGGTTAAGTTAGCAGAACCCATGCTCATCTGGTTGCCTGCCAACTGCTTATTTGGTTCAAAGATTGTCTATTTTGTCATATAATTGCAAGGGAACTGATAGCTGAGGAATGTCACTGAAGCCATGAAGTTACAAGCACAGGCTGGGAGGACTCAGCTCACTAGTGCATTAGGGTACAGTGCTTGTCCTTCCTGGCTTTAGAATCAGACATCCTGGATTCCAATGCACTATCTGTGCTTGTTAGCCATGTGACCTAAGGCAAGTTAATTAATTCTCTGAGCTTTACTTTTATACTCTGATAGGATTTGTGTTGTTGGGTGGATTGGGGATTAAATGAGAAAATAAAGCATATGCAGTCCAAATAAATAATACATGTGGATTGTAATCCAAACGGAACTTTTATATCCTACTAGTCCTTTAGGATAATGGCAGAAGTTTTCTACTCTTGCACTATATAAAAATTACAAAAATTATATGAATTATGTTTTATTTTCAGGTTATTAGAAAATTATAGGTTTACTCCAAGTTACAGTATTCAGTTTTGAATCAGAAATTCAAATGCCAAGTTCAATATATATTAATCAGCATTTTGATATTGGTTCAAAAGTAAAGTTTACCCTTCCAATTCCCAACCAGGACTTTGATAGGCAGAAAAAAAGCATCATTTGTGCTTTCTCAATCACTTCTTCCCTTACCCCTTCACTGCTCATATTTAGAGGAAAAATTTCAGCAGAGAGGCTGAAACAAGCAGTATAAATAAATAAGCAGAGATTGTTCAAGAAGCAGCATCCATGGGGCATTGGAATGTACTAGTTGGAGTGGTGTATTTGTACCCTGAGGGTGTGGACTGTTTTTTCTCAGCTCTGCTTTCTTGTTAGTGAAGGGCTCAAGGGGAGTCAAGATATGCCTGCTGGACAGAAGTGTCCCAGTTCATGGTGTCCAAGAGATAGAGAGAAATCTTGGCATATTTAGATCATTTTTAATTTGTACCCTTTCCTGTCTCACTTTTAGCTACACAAAGGGAGATTTAGACTTCACTTATGTTACCTCCAGAATTATTGGTAAGTTTTTCATGTTTTCAATTGCTCTTTGGTTCAGCCATCAAATGCTGCTCCAGGCCTGTGTAACCTGTTTTATTTCTGTGTGACTTCTAGTGATGTCCTTTCCCCTGGACAATGTTGACATAGGATTCAGGAATCAGGTTGATGACATTCGGAGCTTTTTGGATTCCAGACATCTTGATCACTACACAGTCTACAATCTGTCACCCAAGTCTTACCGAACTGCCAAGTTTCACAGCAGGGTAAGGAATTTTAGCCCTACGATTGCTTGCTGAGACTTCATAGGCTGTTTTTTCTCTTACGAGATATCCTCAAAGCCTTTACCTTTAACCGTATGAAAAAACTAAAAACTCTGGATACTTCTGTCCATGAAATATTTATTAGCTGTTATAAGATGTTCTGAAGATTTTCTTTGAGGAGATTTTTTTAGGAAAGTATCTCTATTAATGAAATTCTATCTAAATTGGGGTATCAATCATTTGGTGCTTGTTTGGTTCTTAGAACGTTGTTCACAAGGTTCAATTTAGAGATTGAACTGTTGCATTGGGAAGTTGGCTACCCTTACACACCAACACTAATTAGGTCTTTGACCTTCCTACTTGGGCATCAAGATGGAGCAGTGTCAGGGCTGGGGATGTAGCTCAGTGGTAGAATGCTTGCCTAGCACGCTCCAAGCCCTGGGCTGGATCCTAGCATACATGTACACACACACACACTAACAATGAGGCAGTGTGGCCAGATTAGTATAGACACACCAGTAATAATGAAAATATACATCTGACATTCAGTAAAGATGCCACTTTCATAAGAGAAGGATAGCATAAAAATAGTCCACACTATAGGTTTGATAATACTATTACTAATATTAATAAAAATGAGAGTGGTAGCCAATATTTATAGAGCAATTACACTGTATTGGGAGCTTCACATGCAATGTCACGTATAATTCATCAGTCTTTTGAGATAATGGAGAAACTCATGTACAGAGAGAAGATAACTTGCCCAGGATCACACGTCCAGTAGGTGACTTAAAACCTGAAATCTTAACCATTACCCCAGGCTGACAGGGAAAAGCTGATTTATTCTTTTAAAGTAGCTTTTCCAATGGGGTTAGAGAAATATTCCTTCTTTCAGGCTGTTTAAAGAACTCTGAGAGCTGGCTTAGGTTTGAATTTGATGTCAAGTCTGGTATTTCTGGCCAGTGAATTCCAGACTTACTCATAAAATAAGGCTTTTTCTCTTTCAAGAACTTCTTCAAATACTTTTAGTAAGCCTTTAGATATGATTACAACTTCATCTGGGCCTGTTTTTTCTGGGTACCGGGCATTGAACTCAGGGGCACTCGACCACTGAACCACATCTCTAGGCCTATTTTGTATTTTATTTAGAGACAGGGTCTCACTGAGTTGCTTAGCGCCTCACTTTTGCTGAGGCTGTCTTTGAACTCACAATCCTTCTGCCTCAGCCTCCTGAGCTGCTGGGATTATAGGCGTGTGCCACCATGCCCAGCTCACCTGGGTCTTTTAATGAATTATAAAGGGCTTTCTACAAGTGTAACTTGATTTCAAGTGTGCAAAATCATAGATGGCCATCAATGTTGTGTAGTAAGGATCTCAGTGTGGATGCTAGAGCTCACTTTACTCCAAATTCCAATTGCCATTAATAATCTCTGGACCTCAGTTTGCACATCTGTAGAGACAAGAAAGCTGTCCCATATGCTGAGACCTCTTCCTGTACTAATATTTAATAATATAGAAGAGAGTTTTGTTAAAATGTTTTTTTTTTTTCAGTGTGTCCTTAGAATAGTCTTAACATTTAGTGTGCCTCGGAATATCTTGAAAGCCTTGTTAAGTACATATTTCTGATTCAGTAGGACAGGGGAGGGGTATGAATTCTCATTTCTGACAACTTCTGGGTGCTAATCTACCTATTGTGGTGGAGACTACTCTTTGACACACTCTGATAAAATCATTCTGCAGTGGTTAGATCTAAGTTGCCATTTTATAATGCAGTTTTTAAGTGCAGCTCTTATAAATTCACTGTAATAAACTATCATTCTGACTTTATTCCATCTTTTATGTAATTCATAGCAAATTCATTAACATCAAACCAAAATGCAGGTAAACATTGTTTTTCTAACTTGATGTAAATTAAGTCTTTTTAATTATGTGGTTTTTTTTTTGGAGTCATCATTTTCATAACTGAAGGACAGTGGAATATTCTGCACAATATTTCATGGAATTTTATTTGATTTTGAAAGATTTGTGATAGTTTGGAACATTTTCCCTCAAAAAGTAAATAAAGATATAATATCACTATAGAAGGAATTGTTCATTATGAAGATGTTGAATAGTATTTATAAAAAGCAGTCTTCATAAACAAATCTTTAAAGGAAAGCATTTTTTGGTATAGTTAAGATTTTGTGACTGCATTTAACAATTTAATAAAGGAATCAGGAATCATGCTTTAAGCATCTGCCCTAGGCTGCTCTCTCTTGCCCTAGGAGAGCAGAGAGAATGTTTATTTTGTTTGACATCTAGAACAATGCCTGGCATAGCTAATAAATGTTTCCTAAAAGAACAAATATGTCAATAAATATTAACTAGTATAGATATTAAAGAAATATTTGGCTCTTATCTTCAAGGCTCTTAAGCCTACTTGGAAAGAGAACCCAGGTCATATTCAAGACAGATGCAAATAATATTTGTAAAACCTGCTGAGGGAGTCCAGTTCAGGAAGACAGAAGTGACAGCTGGGCCTGAAAGCATGAGTAAGGTTGATAGAGGTAAAAGGAACAGGGTCAGTTCTTGTCTATGCAAATGGTAGAACATATCTTAGGAAGCTTTTCATGATCTGGCCTTTGCCTGTCTCTGTGGCTTCAGGTTTCACTGTTCTTCATTGCCCCCAAAGTCCATGCTCCAACCAGGGATGCTTAAATGTACACACACAGGTGCGCGCGTGCACACACACACACACACACACACACACACACACACACACACACGGTTTCTGCATGTGCTATACCTTCTCCCTAAAATGCCATCCATGTCACACAACTCCACTCTCTTCTTTGTTAGCCTGACTTTGCTAAAGGGAGTATTTCTTCATGTCTCAGAGTTTTCCAGTTCTTTCTTGTAAAGCACATCATGGACTCTTCCCAAGTAGTCCCAGAACTTGGCAGATTGGAACTGGACCCTCTGACCTTTCTCTCTCAATACTCAATTGTGTCTCAGGAAGATAGTCCCGAAGCCTTAGTATTTTCATCTTAGCTATGTTTTTGATTTGATCCATCTCTTTCTAAATTCATAGTCCTTACTCTCCCCAGCATTAAGACTATGAATTGATTTACATCCCATTTTTGCTTTACATAGAAAAGTTTTCTTGGTTCTCCTCTTCCAGTCTGTGAGGATTAGAGCCATTTCTTCCTGCTTGTCGTTTAGTAGAGTGCTAGATCTGCAATTAAGCTTTATTTTAATAAACATAGATGGCAGAGGTTTCTATAAATAACCAGTGCTGGAAAAGATCTAATGTAGGGGTAGGGCTGGTTTTATTTGCAGACTCATGGAGTCTAACTCTGTCTGCATCATGTATTTCTACATCATTATATATCTCAGTCTATTTACACTTTGATTATGGGATTGTTTGCATATTTGGGGATATAGGTGGTGGTGGTGGCAAAGTAGGCTACTTCCAGGAAGATTTTACTTTCCTGAGTGCTGAGGGTTGTCATTCTATATTTTAACTAACAAGTATTCTTTGAAGTCACACGAATTGATGGGAATTTTATGAAATAATCACAAAGCAGTTTGTTTGCTTGTATTTATATTTGAAACAGCATACAGCCAAATTGCAATAGAACTGTCTGACTTTAGCAGAGGATTCAACTCAAAACAATAAAAAAGCAGATGATCCCACATTGAATGTGAAGTGCTAGAATACCTACTCAGGACCGAAGAGAAGGTATTGAAAGTCAGTTTTTTTTTTACTCTTTATGGTCAGTATCCACCTTGAGGACTTAAAAATTCTGAGGCTGACAGTAAAGTCCTGGAGACCAATGAGATGCATCATCTAAATCAAACATTCTTAACCGGAGTTAAAAGGACCTACAGTTCCATTGTGTGTTTAGAACCCCTGGGCTGTAGAACTTAAACCTCTGCTTCCAACTTTTATAGACATCGTTGTTGTAAAATACATATAACATAAAGATATGATTTTAACCCCTTTGAGTATACAGTTATATTACATTTATGGTGTTGTATAATCATCATCACTATCTTTACCAAACTTTTAAAATCAATCCCAACATAAACATTGTGCTCACACCTCTCCCCCACCCATGTTCCCATGTTCCAATCTGGCTTCTACCCAAATTGATAGCTAAACTTCAGAACAACAAGAACCACTGCTTACACATTTCTAGGTGTTGCTATTGGTAATTAATGAAAAATTCTTGGTAATGAATGAGAAGTCTAACGTGGCCCTAAAGTTCTTAGGTTCTGAATAATGCCATTCCAGTGCCACCTGGACCCTCCTTCTCCCTCTGCCCACCCAGGAAGGACAGTTTGAGAAGGAGTGCTGTTAGTAGCTCAGAAACCAGTAGCCCAGTTGGATCTTTTCGATTCTTCCTTCCTCTTGACTTTTTTTTTTTTTCTAAACCACCAAATTTTGCACTTGATTTTGGGAAAATGTATTAACCTGGACTTTATAAAGGGCTCATTATTGGAAGTCGGTGTCTCTTTCCCCTTTTCTTTTCAGAGCCCACTGAGGAGGTCCTCATAGCTCCTAATGGTTTGTGCTTTGGTTTGAGGTTGGGGAGGGGATGACTGTAGAATTGTGACCTTACAACTCAGACCTCATCTCTCCTTCTGCATCCATGCATTAGTGTCAGGACAGAAAATAATGGTGTAGAAAACAGTATCTAGCTTGGGAGCTGGTGAATCAAGGAGCCCATGTTCTAGTTATGCAGCTTTACATGCATTGAGCCTCTTGACCTTAAAAAAACACAGCCATCACTTGATCCTGTTTCCGCCCTTCAAATGCAAGATGGAATTCTTACTAATCATCAGATAGGAAAGTATAGCGGAGAGTACACAAATTTCAATAACTTTTTATTGAGATGAAATCATATAATAGACACAAATTTCAAACTTTAAAATTTACCCTAGGTTCACATTTCAGCTTTTCCTCTTCCTGAAAAGTCATTTCACCTCTCCTGGGACTGTTTTCTCTTGTGTCTCTTGTGTAAGATGAAGATGGCAATATGAGTAACTATCTCACAAATGCTCTTCGATTTTTTTTTCTGTAGGTTTATTGTAAGAAATATATTTGATTAGCAGTGACTGGCTTAGGCTTAGCTTTTAGGAAGTAGTAACTATGATTAATATCACTAGTAAATAATAAAATGCTATAATAAGCAATTGATTGAAATACCCATTTTTCACAAATGATTCGAGGTTCATAAACATTGCACATGTTTTTTCAGTCTGATTCTCTGCTGCACCTTCTGCTCCTGTGCTTAGTGAGCAGAAGGTTCCTGCCCAGGCTGTCTCATGCTGAGAGCAACGGAGAGACGAAAATGGAATGGCACTCAGCCCCAGTGAGGTTTGGCCCCTTCCCACAGGGTGGTATTGAGGCAGCCTGGTAATCAACATGGTATTCCTAATGCCCAGCAACTCCAGGAGGTGTTCAGGGAGGCAGGAAACAGCACCAGGGGGTCACATAGCTGGTTATTCTGCCTATCACATAGATAATGAACCCCAGAGAGCTGCAAAAGGAGCTTGCAGTGACTTAATTCCTTTAAAAAATTCTTTTTTGTTTCACGTATGTCTTCATGTTTGTCCTCCTGTAGACAGAGCCCTTGATTTTAAAAAAATTCTAATTATATGTTTGCCTAATAATATATAATCATATATCAAGTAAATATATAATTATGGAGTTCTTTAAATTAATATTATTTACTTGATTGATTTAATGACTCTGGAGCTATTAGCCTATTGTGCTAAAAACAATTTAGCCCATTTTTAGCTGAGACTCATTCCAGATATTGAAATTTGGTGTGTGACCTTTAAAAATGTTTGCTAGGACAACAAATTTCCTCTACTCTTAGGAAATCAGCAAATCTACTTTTAGGGAAGCAAAACAAACTTGATTTACCTGTTCCTTCCTCAAGATATTGTACAGGTAGACAAATCTTATTACAAAAAGAGAGTGAGTGTCAGATGGGGTTCATTCCTTTATTCTTTTGTTCATTCCCTCACTCAGCAAGTAACTGCTGAGCACCAGCCACCACAGCAACAACACACAGTTGGTGAACTCTGAGGTTACAAAGATGAAGAAGCTGTGGTCTCTTTTCTCATGGAACTCAGTTGCTAGAGAGGGAGACAAGTATGAACAGTCAATTCAGTGCAGCTTGACAGTAAGTTAGCTTATTGTCTCTGTGAGTGTCTTATAGCACTCTGTGTGTTCGGGTGGTGGTGCTGAATTCTCACAATCCTTTAATGCTCACTTGCACTTCACACACAGGGAATTGAAGCTTGGAGAAATGCAGGTACTATGCATTAATGCAGGTACTATGTGATGAATACAGGCAAAAATCTAGCCTGTGGTCTTAACCGTGATGCTCTACTGATAAAGACTTTCAGAGACAAATATATACAAGGACAGAGGCACAAAGACATGACTTCCAGTTTTTTAATTCAATGTCATTTCTATGCCTTGAGTATCAAATGGGGAATACATTTAGCAGGTAAAGAATGGGCCTGAATCATATTGGCTGAGTTTAAATGAATAAGCCCAATGCTAGATCACCCTGGATTGTTTTGTAGCTATGTCAAGCATTTCAAATACTTTGTTTAATAAACCATATTTGTCATTCCAAGAAGTGTGTAAAAATAGATAATCTGGACTGTTCCCTGACACCATGCACAATTACTTTGTAGAAAAAAACTTACAGATTAACTGAAAAGAATGGACTTTCTTGGCAGCTTCAGACAGGGAAACTCCATGTGTTCATTTCCGAGGCAATTTACTGCGGAGGCCAAAATAATTTCTCATTTACATTTTGATCAGTTGTTCTCTGGTTAACAAAAAAGGTCCAACCAAAGAGACTCCTCCTGCTTCCCTTTCCCACTGTCAAGTATGAGGAAGGTGACACTTGGGTTTTCTTAGACCACGGGTGTCAGTATTGCAGAGTACCTTCTAGTGAAACCACTCATATAGAACCTGTTCTTTCTCCAGAATTCTGTCGCATTAAATGGCACTTGCTTCTATCCTGTCTGGCCATTCAAGCCAGAAACAAAAATATCATCCTTGGCTTTTCCTGCCTGTCCTTTTAGGTAGAGGTATTCCACTTTCTTTCTGGCTCCTGAGCCCCTCAGGTATGTTTACACCCACTGCCACTAGACTGGCCTAAGCCACCATTAATCCCTTACTTATCTCCTCATCAGCCTCCTGATTGGCATCCCTGACTTTAGCCTCTTGTCTTCCACCTCTGGTTTTCATGCTCATGCATGAAAAATCTTTGGGAAATACTGATCTGAGAGTCACTTTCCTTCTTAAGTGTTCTCCTACCTTCTTAAGAAGGCCTTGTAGGATCTGGTCCTTTGGTCTTCACTCTTGCCATACAGAGCTTCATTCACTTTTTTAAACACAGCCAACTCTTCCTGACCTCAGAAGTTTGCATTGGCAGTTACTTGATAAAACAATAATTGCTAGCATTTATTGATTGCTTTTTGTGTGATCCTGAGCTAAGGCCTGGAAATACATTTTCGTGTAATACCCAGAGCCTTGTTAGGTACATAGGTAGGTACCATGCACCAGCACCATCTTTCATGAAAAAAGATAGATTTAAAGAGGTTGTGAAGTTTGCCCAAGTCAAAGGTTCTCCTTATTGTTTATTAGTTAAATTAGTGATATCTAAACCATTTAGGCTCATACCCAATACTTAACCAGTAGCCCGTTGTGGTACAAGGATTAACATTCAGAGAACCTGAGCTGCAGTGCTGGTGCAGATCAGCATTGTGACCTTGAACAAAACAAGTTCTGAGTCAGTTTTCTCATCTACCAAATGGCATCATAATGTTCGTCTTCTCTGTTTGTTGTACAAATCAGACCAAGCAGTATTCCTGATGCTTCATAACATGTTAAATGGATATGTATATTAAGAAAATGAAGATACAAAAGATTTCTCCTTTGGAGTTGTAGATCCCTTCATTCAAAGAGAAAAATAAGACCCATGCATAGCCTCCCCTGGCTCATGTTACTGCACTTACCATGTTTTAATGAAAGCCAAGATAAAATTAGGGACAGTGTGGGACTTACAACATAAGTCTACAGTGAAGCATTTGGTAGGCAGGTAAAAGCTTTAATACTTAATAGGAATTAAATTCTATGTTACCTCAGAGAATAGAAAAAACCAAAATGTGTAGCATAAATAGTCTTGTTTAGCAGTGAGCTTGTGGCTCAGAGGTGGAGCACTTGCCTAGCATGTGTGAGGCATGAGGTTTGATTCTCAGTACTACATATAAATAAATAAAATAAAGTTCCGCCAACAACTAAAAAAAATAATTAAAAAGTCTTATTTAATTTAAAATGCATTTCACAATGTATTTTCTTGCCTCTACAAGAAATAGCACTCTTTAATTTAAAGATTACTACATTAAAGCTGGGCTCAGGGGCACATGCCTGTAATTCCAGCAGCTTGGGAGGCTGAGACAGGAGGATCGTGAGTTTAAAGCCAGCCTCAGCAATGGTGAGGAGCTAAGCCACCCAGCGAGACCCTGTCTGTAAATAAAATACAAAATAGGGCTGGGAATGTGGCTCAGTGGTCGAGTGCCCTTGAGTTCAATCCCCGATAAATCCTGCTCCCCACCAAAAAAAAAAAAATTACTGCATTAAATATGTTTTTTTTTTTTTCTGTGTTTAGGCCCTGTTCCCAACTTTTCCTGGCTATAGTACAAGGAGATGTGGTCTTACTTTCAGAAGAAGTTCAATGTGACACCTTCTTCCTTTTGCTGTGTTTCCTTAGGTCTCAGAATGCAGTTGGCCCATTAGGCAGGCTCCCAGTCTGCACAACCTCTTTGCTGTGTGTCGGAATATGTATAATTGGCTGCTACAGAATCCCAAAAACGTCTGTGTTGTCCACTGCTTGGTGAGTACCCATAGTTGGTATCTGTGGTTTGGTTTGGTCAGATATGGATGGTCCTATCCAGAATGATGGATAGGTAACATTTGAGTTCTGTAGCTTTATTGAGCCTCTACTTAGAAGCTAGGCAGTCCGAGGGATGGAAAAATGAGGAATAATGTATTATTTTCGTTTTAAAATTTAAATACTACTGGGAGAGGCAGATACATATACACAACCCACATAATGTGGGGACTCTAAAATGTGCCAAGTATTCTAAAAGAGGTAAAAATAAAGCTGTGGGTGCATAGGTAGTAATGCACTGAGTTTTCTGTGAATAGAGTTGACACAAACATATTGTCATATTTATTTTTTTCTTACAATTTGTGTTTGATTAAAAATAAGAGTGAAGCTCTCTCTGTCCTTGTAAATAGTTTAAATAGACTATGTTTTAGAACAGTTTCCATTAGGACTGATGATTTTTCTGGGCATTGACTTTGTAAAGTGCCTTTCTCTAACCCTTTCTCTCAGGCCTTTTACTTGTCCTGTAAAACTCAACTTGTGATAAAATCTTTCTGATTCTTCTAAGCATTTTCACAGCGCAGATCCTCCCACTGTGTATCTCAGTATTTTCTGTGGCATCTATCACACTGCACCATACTAAGCTGTTCTCCTGTCTGTTTTCCCACTAGACTGTTAGCATCTTTGTTACCCTTGTACCCCAGACAAGCAAGATTTGAATAAGCAATTGAAAACAGGAAAAAAATGAATGTACCAACGGAGTCTGAGCATAGTACTGGAAATAATTTACTGCTTCTAAAAATTTCAGGATATATATATATATATATATATTTTTTTTTTTTTGCTATGATATTACTGAATGATTTCCCCTCGCCTTCTTGAGAAGGGGTTGACAATAATAATTAAGACAGAGCTGATAGATATTGAGGTAGTATGAAAACCTCACAGTACTCAAAATAAATCTACTTTCAGGGCTTAAATTACATGGCAGATTGCTAAAAGTACTCAGAGAAGCAGTTCTGGATCCCCAGGGTCCTATGAAGAAACAGGAAGAGGAGTGCCAGGCAAGCCACAGGAAAGGATTTCTCTCAAAAGATGAAGGAGGCTGATACTGAAAAGTTATAAGCTGGTGATCCCTGATGGCCCTTCAGGGAAAAATTCTAATGAATCTTTTCTCAGATAATTTTTAAACTCTTATTAAAAAAAAAGGAGTCCACATGGGTTTATTATAAATATAAATATCAAACCAACTAGACACTTTGCAGCCAGGCTAATAGACTAATTCATTGAATTTTTGTATGAGATTTTCTAGTTTCTTGCAGTCAAGATGGAGAAATTTGACCTAGGTTGATATATATTTAGTTGGGTGGGGGTTGAATATATTTGCTTCCAAAGGTAGGTGAACTCATGGAGAAGATTTCATTAGATTGATCGTTATTTATCTATTTCTTTAGTCATACTGGGCTTAATCCAGGGACACTTTAACACTGAGTTGCATCTCCAGCCCATTTAAAAAATTTTTATTTTGAGACAAGGTATTGCTATGTTGCTGAGGCTGGTCTTAAACTTGTGATCCTCCTGCCTCAGCCTCCTGAGTGGCTCAGATTATAGGCATCTGCCATCATGCCTAGCATACTTTGCTTTCTAAATTAACAAAATGATGAAAATGTGGAAATCATGCTTATCCATTTTCTTAGAATTGGGAGGGTCACATAATAGACCTGGATTTAAAAAGTTCTTGTAGTTTACTTGTTTAACAGAAACTAACAATGTGAAGTTAATTACAGGATAAATGAACAGCCCTAAATTCTGGTTCTGAAAGATTAAGCATGTTTGTCTATAGCTTAACAGGTGATCTGAGAAAGAAGTAGGGCTTTCGGTGGGTATGAAGATCAACAGGAGCTTCTATTGTGATCTAGCCTTCGTTTATTCTAGTTACGTTCATGAGAGCACAGTATCCAGACTAAGAAAGGTGATATCTTGCACTCATATCTTGCACTTCCCTGTGGGCAGCACATTTTAGGGTGATGTTTTAAAACTTTGGTCTGTTCAGAAAAGCATACTAAATGAAGAGGTCTCTCTGAGTGAAATTTCAGAGGACAAAGAATCCAAGGGATTGGTTTTGTTTTCACCTGGAAAATAGAACTTTTGATGGAGAGCACCACAGGCAGTGAAGGACAGTCACAAGGAGAGAGGAGTAGACTTGTTTTGTTTTGTTTTTTTTTTTTTTCTCATGGAAGGAAGAATGAAGGGTACTGAATAGAAGCTGAGGAGGAATAGACTTCAACTCAACACATTCGGTGTAAGGATGCACTTTGTAAGACGGAGTGAGCCGTAGCCATTCACTTAAGAGTCTTCTAGAAGAGGCTGTGTCTGGAGTGTTACTGAATATTGTTTTAGTCATCTCAGGCTTTTAAAACAAAAACACTCTAGACTGGTTGATTTCAGTAGTAGAAATTTATTTCTCATGGTCTGGAGACTGGAAGCCCAAGAACAGGGTCTCTGCAGATTCAGTGTCTTCTCAGGGCTGGTTTGTCTTTTCTTTTGTATCCTCATATGCTGAGAGCAGATGAAACGGAGTGGGGGAGGAGAGAGGGAGGGAGGAGGGAAGACTGAAGGAGAGAGGTGCCCTGTTCTTAGGATGCTAATCTCATTCATGAGGGCTCCACCTCAGATGTCTACTTCCTTATACCATTGCATTGGAAGTTAGCATTTCAACATGAATTTTGGGAAGACACAAATATTCAGTTCATAGAAGATCTATTCCTATGTTGAATGACGTATCAATTGATATTTTAAATTTTATATTAATGTTGGAGCACATTTTGGGTTAAATACTTATGCAACACCTCCCATCAAGTGGCATCTGCCTAATCTGTGAGCTCTTTACTTCTTGTCCTAAATCAAGACCCCTCATCTGTGAGTTATGATGCCACAAGTCTAATGCAACTTTAAAGTCCAAAGCTACTTTAAAGATCACATTATTTTTCTTTAAATTTAAGTGAGTCAAATTATTTTGCTGGGCTTTCTTGGGTTAGTATAGAGTGAGTTTTATCCTAAGAAAAAGTCTTCCCTGCTTCTTTGTGATTTTGATAGCTGGGACAAATTTTTGTTTTCCAATGAAAAGTTTTGAAGTGAAAAACTGTTAGGAGGATTCCTCCCCTCCTTCTGTTAATTGCAAGGGCAGCCTTTCTCAGATTTGATCATGTTCTTGATGACTTTATGCATCATCTTTGATAGGATGGACGGGCGGCATCGTCAATTCTGGTTGGTGCTATGTTCATTTTCTGTAATCTCTACTCTACTCCTGGCCCTGCTATTCGATTGCTGTATGCGAAGCGACCAGGAATTGGACTGTCACCATCCCACAGGAGGTACAGTAAGCAAGGTGCAGGGTCTGAGCAAGTGTGGTCTGGTTGTTACTGTGTACGGTTTGGAGTCTGCCCTGTAGGTACTTTCCTAACTTTCTTCTAATTTATCTGACATTATTCTGAACTATGGAAACTATTGAATTAAGATATTGGATTTTCATGCACGTTCATGAGTCCCATATGAGTTTGTGATTTTAAAATCAGAAAGAAACTTTAAAGAATGCCTATCTCTTCCTTCATTTTACAGGTGAGAGAACTGACTCAGATAGGTTGTAATTTGCCCCAGGTCTAAAAAATTCACATAGCCAGGATCTCAAGCTCTAAGACCAGTCCCTTTCTGTTGCATCATTTAGGTCTTTATTGAAATACCAGCAGTAGCTGGTTATGTTTATCAGATGATCATCACAATTAACAAGAGGAAATGCCAAAATGTAGAGAGAATGAGATGTTTTAAAATTCACTTTTTATTACGAGAGGAACAAGGAAATGGATTATAACAGATAGTCTGAACAGTGGCTTAAAAAAGGAAACCCTCTTTAGATAATAACTATTTATTTTCTTCTGTTTAGTCATAATTTCTTCCCCTGATTAACATTGTATCTTCTTACTTTTTTTGGATTATAAAAGTATTTCTGATGATAAAATTTTAACATCCAAAAATTGGTCTTCAGCTGATAAATTTAATCTGCTAAATGAAATAAGAATAGATGAACAAATATTAAGCTACTCTAAATGGCCCATAGGGTTTTGGATTTAATAAATACCCTGTTATCAGTTCTTTGGGGAAGTACAGCAAGGTCAGTGGATAAAATATTATCTGCATTCTCTTTTGCTAATTAATGTTGAATAAAATAACAGCAAATTTTTATTGCAATTTAAAGATTTGCAAGGACAAACTTCATAGCAAAAATTACCTGCTTCTCTTGATGTGACGGGCCCCCTAACGGCAATCTTCTGTTTCAGGTACCTGGGCTATATGTGTGACTTACTAGCAGACAAGCCCTATCACCCTCACTTCAAGCCTCTCACGATCAAGTCCATCACTGTCAGTCCCGTACCCTTTTTCAACAAACAGAGAAACGGATGTCGCCCTTACTGTGATGTACTAATTGGAGAAACCAAAATATATACAACCTGCACGGATTTTGAACGAATGAAGTGAGTCTTATGATTTTTTTCCTTTACTTCTTATACACTGCTCAATTGCTGTGTAAATTGTTTTGTGTTCTTCCTGCAGGTCTATATCACTGTGGAATGGCTGATTTAAAAAAAACATTCAATGTCAGTAGCGATCATAGACAAGCATAACTAAATCAAGGGAGGCATGGCTCCTTTTCACATCCAGCTGTGCCATAGGCTAAGGGACTAGCATGAGCTACAGTGAGCATTGAGACAGTGGGGTGGGGAGGGCTGGGGTTGTGGCTCAGTGGTAGAGCACTGCCTAGCATGTGTGAGGTACTGGGTTGGATTCTCAGCACCACGTATGAATAAAAAAATAAAATAAAGGTCCATCACATCTTTAAAAAAAATGTGAATGTTGTAGAGGGACAGAGGACCTGGACATTGAAGAGGGAGATGGCCTTGATGGGATTTAGTGAATCAGGGATGAATGAAGTCTCTAAGTGAGCAACTATGTAAATGATGACATAATTAGAGAAGTTATAGAATCTATAATGAAAAGGAGATACCAGTGGGAGGTTGTTGAGAATGGGGTGGAGAAAAAGAAATAAGTGGTAACTAAAGAGCAAATAGTTGGGAATAGAAGGAATTTGGGGATTAGTATTCAAGGCTCTCATAGACTGTGGCATTCCTGTTTCTATACGTAGCTTGGTTGAAGTTTTTGTTCCTTTAATCTCTGCTTTTACTACTAGCTTGAGGTTAGGAAAAGGCAAACACACAAGGGATGATACATTTGAGGAAAATAAGTCATCAGCAAAATAGAGATGGTCAGTTGTACTTTCTGGAAGTCCAGGTGAGATTGAGAGTCTTCCCATTGCAGTTTTCCCTCTGTTGGCATGGGCTGCATTTCTGCTCAAGATAAGAAATAGTTTCTAGGTCCAGATCTGGGCAGATGGGTCTCTTGTCCAGGCCACAGAGCACTATGCCTATGTCTGTGTAATTGTACCAGACTGGATAGCTTTTAATGTCTGTTTTGATTCTATTTAAAGAGAATACCGGGTCCAAGATGGAAAAATCTTCATTCCCCTGAACATCACTGTGCAAGGAGATGTGGTTGTCTCCATGTATCACTTGAGGTCAACCATTGGAAGCCGGCTGCAAGCTAAGGTAAGCTTTCTGAAAGAATCATGGCATTAGCTCATCTGAGTTTTTAACAGTGATATTTTTTAATCTTCTCCCCAATCACTTTGGGGTTGAGTGAGTTGTGGTTTAAGAATGAGGAAGAGCCTTTAAAGATTGCTTATGTCCATCTTCCTCATTTTACAGGGGAAGATACTGAGACTTGTAGAGGTATGACTTACTAAAGTTCTTGGTATGATTACTGTGGAATTAAATAACTGTGTTTTTCCCCCAAAGTTTTTACTGAGGTAAAGTTCACATTACATAAAAACCACCCTTTTAAAGTATATAATACAGTAATACAGTGGATTTTAGTACATTCAAAAGGATGTGCAACCATCAGAACTATGTAATTCCAAAGCATTTTTTTTATCACCCCTAAAAGAAACCCTGTGCCCATTAGCAGTCACTACCCATTTCCTCTTCCTTATCTCCAGACAACCATGAACCTACTTTCTGTCCCTGAGGGTTTGCTTAATTTGGAGATTTCATATAAATGAAATCATACAATACATGGTGTCTTGTAGCTGGCTTTTTTTCACGTAGCGTATATTTTTGAGGCTTATCCATGTAACAGCATGTATCAGTACTTCATTCCTTCGTATAGCCAAGTAATATTCCATTGTATGACTATGCCACATTCTATTAATCTTTCCATCAATTGGTAGATATATTTGGGTTATTGCCTCTCTTTGGCTTTAAGAATGATGTTGCAAGTAATCATATTTTAATTAAACAAATTTTGCTAAGTTTATGCTCTGTTCCAGCCATTGCCTAGGTGTCTAGGATTGAAAAGAATATGACTGTGTTCCTGCCGTTAAGAAACTCAGCCCAGCAGGAAAAATTTACACATGTTTAAAATATCCATAATACCATATGGAGGGGAGATGAGGTGCTGCAATAGGAACAGTTTGTTTTAGCCAGCAGTAGCCACCATAGGCTCCAGAAAGATATGCCTTTCAAGGTGGGCCAAAAAGGATGAGTTCATTGGGTTGGGAGCAGGGCATCCTGGGAAGAAAGAATACCATGAGTGGAAGCATGTCAGTGTATCAGAACATGGGATGGGGAAACAGTGGACGAGGAAACAGCTTTCCAAGGCAGAGTTCGTGAAAGGGAGAAGTGGGAGACGTTTAATATTCATAGTAAACAAAGATTCAGATGTAGAAAGAGTTGAAGGTTCATGGCTCCCCAAAATATAACATCTTGATCACATTCCCCTTTCACTGGTAAATTGCAATTTTTTTTTTCTTGGATATTTTTAGGTGACCAATACACAGATATTCCAGCTTCAGTTTCATTCTGGATTCATACCTCTGGACACAACAGTATTAAAGTTCACCAAGTAAGTACTGCTCGGACTGAAAGCCTGTTTGCACTGGGTAGCTGTGCAGTGTTGAGTTTCTTTAGTGCCATGGTGCATTCCCCCTGAGTCCTGTGCTGCTAGATCATTGAGTGTAGCTCCACCACATAGAGAGGCTGGATAGATCTGAAAACTTTCCATTGAATATGACCTGTCTTAAGAAGTGCGAATAGATCCAAGACTTCAAATAGAAAGGTCTAAAATTCCACGTGAAGGAATATAATAGTCAGTTTCCCACCAATGTGACAGATACCTGAGAATATCAATTTAAAGGAGGAAATAATTATTTGGGCTCACAGTTTCAGAGGTTTCAGTTCACGGTTGGCTGGCTCTAAGGAAGAAGAATCATGGAGGAAGGGTGTTGCATAGGAAAGCTGCTCACTTCAAGGCACCTGGGAAGCAGAGAGAGTGAGAAGAGGGTGGGGCAGGCCGGGGACAGGATATAGTTCCCAATGGTAAACACCCAAGAACTCAGTCTTTTCAACTCATATAGTCCATTTACCTCATTATTCCACTAATGAGGTTAGAGTTTTTATGATCTAATCATTTCCTAAATCCCCACCTCTGAACATTACAGCACTGAGGAATAAGCTTTCAACACTGGAGCTTTTGGAGGACATTCCAGACCCAAACTATACAGGGAGCAAGAGTGGACGAAGAAGGAACAGAGTATTACTACTTTGATCCTTTGCATCTGTGTATTTCCATATGTTTCCTTCAGGAATGGTAGTTAAATCAGTGGTATGGAATGATCAGTGATCCATCAGAATAAATAACAGGCTAGAACACTCAAGCAGGGTTCTGGAGGAGCCCTCTGTACCAGACATTGGCCCTCAGTTGCAATATCGTAGGGTGGTTTGATAACTTGGGGGTAGCCAAATTTGTGATAGGTTAGCATTGCTGGGGCCAGGATAGGGACAGATATTCAGGGGTCACTATGGTGGCCATAGCCTGTTTCACTCTTTTAATATCTAACTTGGTCATGCCAGTGCAGCCTTGCTGGATGTATCAGTTCTGCTTTCCAGAGTGCTCTTACATTTGCAATCTCCATGTTCTTTGAATAGGACGTTATTCTCTTTTCTTGAGATGAGGAAACTGAGACACAGAAAAGTAAAGTACTGTATCTAGCTAATGATTGAGTCTTCTCTAGAAATGAGTCTCTAGTTAACCTGAAAGTCTACCTCTGGTGGTTGCTCTGCTGAGCCTTATGCTGGTTTCATTGTTTTTCATTGGCCTTATTCTTTTAAATCCCTTTGTAGGCCTGAGTTAGATGCATGTGATGTACCAGAAAAATACCCCCAGCTATTTCAGGTGACGCTGGATGTAGAACTACAGCCCCAGGACAAAGCAGTAGACTTAACCCCACCATGGGAGCATTACTGCACAAAAGATGTCAACCCCAGTATCCTCTTCTCTTCTCACCAGGAGCATCAAGATACTCTGGCCTTAGGAGGTATTTATTTTTCAGGCCAAAAGTTTGTGTTATTTAGCACATTGCCGTATTCCCCGAGTTTCACTGATGCTACGTGGCCTTTTGTCTTGCAGGACAGGCTCCAGCAGATCTCCCTCCAGACAACCCCAGGAATTTGGGGCAAAGTGGCTTCTTTGCCTCTCTCTGTTGGCAAGGTACTTTCAAGCATTTCTCAAACTTCACATGGTTAGATGATTGTGGTTCTTCTGTAGAGACACTTAGCTTTTGAAGCAGTCTAAATTAAAGTAGCAATTAGAAGTCATTCAGGCTCCTTTCCCCTTATTCCATACCCTTCCCCCTCACTCCTTTCTCAAATTGGACAACTTCCCTATTTTCAACTTCATGGATGTACTCAGACTGATGCAGAAGGCCATTTTCAGCTGACTTCTATCTCCTCTGTGCTGTGTTCTTGGCCGTGTCTTTCATGGTTTGATGGATAAGTGTGATATTTTCTAAGATCCCCCTTTAGGCTACTGACAATATAAATAAATTAGCAAAGAATTCTGTTTTCTGCCTTCAATTAAATATTCTAAAAATATGTAGTCGAGCATTTCTTCCAAAGTGCTCTGAGCACTAGCTGGGCAGAACTGAGCTTATGTTGGCACAGGTAAGGCAAACACCTGGCCTCTATGTCTCTGTCACTTGTTTTAACAATCATTAGCATAAATTTGGGGCTCCATTACTATATTCTTTTTTCCCAAACCTGGAGTTGTTATCAGATCCTTCTCAACATAGCATTTCCGACTGCTGCCTTTAGTAGCATTGGCATCCTAATCCATATAGATCAGCTATCCTCACTTTAGAGTTTGCTGAGATTAAATGCAAGCTTTGGTGTAGAATTGAATAGTTGGGACTTTATGTAGGAAAGGGTGACAGATGGCTTTGGGGATGACCTAGTTAAAACTCTTAGTTGACTTTCCTCTGATGTGTGAATGTGAATTCCTACTTCTTTAGCTTTTAGAAGTTTTCAGTGTTTGTTGAAAGAATTCATTGGAATTGAAAGACTGACTTTCAGAATTTTCTTTTGAGAAATGGAACCCAAAATTTCTCAAACTTGGATAAACACAGTCAATAAACCCAGTCAATAAACCCCAGTAGATGGATTTTGCAACACTTTCTTGGTATTTTTTACCTTGTATCTTCCTCACAGTAAGGACTTTAATAAATAAAATTTCACTCTTACCTTTCCATTGCCAATTTTGTAAATTATAAATAACTTCTGTAGTCTGCGAAAGAGATTTTAGCACAGATGCACAGTCTCTTTATCTGAACCTCTCAGAGCCAGATGTGTTTAGGAATGCAGAAAGGTGATACAGTATATAAGCTAGATATTTCTTAACAACCTCAGTGGTATCTCAGACAACAACTTGTAATCAAACATACTAATATTTTTTTAGTGAAACCTGTAAGGAAAACCCTAAGTGAGACCAATGAAGTCTAAATAATATCATATCCATTCCAGTCAGGTTTTTCTGCCAGCTGAGTTTGCACCAAACTTAGGAAAGCCTTTCTCTTTTCATAGTTTTTTTTTTTTTCCATTTCAGAATTGGGTATTAGGGGTGTGGACCTCAACCTGATTCAGAATGTGAGTCCATCTGACGTTATGTAACAATGCTCTGTGGGAAGCTCATCTCAAGCAAGGCCTGGAAAGTCATTCACTGTCTCTCTAGTCCTTTCCCAGAAGAGGCCTTTGTGCTGAGCCCATTTTATGCTGAAAGTATCTTCTTTCAGCTTGGTATAAGGACCATCTGAAGCAGAGCCATTCTGTGAACTCAGCAGGTGTTTGAGTTCCTTCTGTATCAGCCCGTGGGAGAACAGCCTTGCTTTTGTCTGTAGGACACACAGAGAAGTAAAAGTCAGTGAATGGTGTTCACAAAGGACTAAGAGTTACTGTTCTATTTTTTTTCCCCAAAAAAAACACCTAGCGTAGTGCCTGGAAATTAATAATAGTAATTAATGATAATAAAAATTTGACTTGGACATGGTGCTGTATGCTTATAATTCCAACTACTCAGGAGGCTGAGTCAGGAGGATTGAAAGTTTGAAGCCAGCCTAGGCAATTTAGTGAGACCCTATCTCAAAATAAAATTATAACTTTTCTGAGAGATTCAGATTAGAGAGTGTGCATCTGGGTGTGTAGCTCAGTAACAGAATAATGTTCTTTGGTTCAGAATAAAAATCATCATCATCATCATCAACATTTAGGTACTTCTTGCTGTTGATCTGAGCACTTTATAATATTATCTCACATAATTTTCATAATAGCCTGTGAGTGAGGTACTATTTGCTACCCTGTTTTGCTGAGGAGGAAACGGAGAAGTAAGGTAACTTACCCAGTGTCACAGAGCCAGTGAGTAGTGGAGCTGGGGTTCAATCCCAGGATGCCTGGCTCCCGAGTCCTACTCCATATCCTAATGCTGCCCTGAATCTCAGATGCTCAGCCATGATAGATGAATATAATATAAAAAGTGTTCCATTGGATGGATCCCAAAGCACTATTTGCTCAAGGTTGAATCCTTCTCTCTGGAATGATGTGCAATAATGTAACAAACCCCAACAGCACCGTGGTGAGTAACTAACTCTTTTTTTGGCTACTGGTCTTCCTTAGATCAGAAATCAGAGAAATCATTTTGCGAGGAGGACCATGCTGCCCTCGTGAATCAGGAGAGCGAGCAATCCGACGACGAGCTTCTGACCCTTTCCAGTCCGCATGGCAATGCCAATGGTGACAGACATCATGGCGCCAAGAAGCCCAGCAAAAAGCAGCAGGAGCCAGCCGCTCCGCCACCCCCTGAGGAGGTGGACCTTCTGGGCCTAGAAGGTTCTGATGTGAGTAAGAGCTTCTCTCCACCGGCAGCGCCTCCCTCCAATTCTGAACTGCTGAGTGACCTGTTTGGGGGTGGAGGTGCAGCTGCTCCTGCCCAGGCTGGACAGTCAGGGGTGGAAGATGTGTTTCACCCTAGTGGACCTGCATCCGCCCAGTCGACACCACGCCGTTCCGCAGCCTCGGCCTCCGCATCGCCAACCCGACGACTGGGAGAAGGTAATTTTTTTCCATTGCTCTGTAGTTCTGAGATTTGAATGGTAACTTTTGGGCCAGAAAAAGGCAGAATTGTCTTAATAAGCTGGGCCTTTTCAATCCCCTGAAAGTCCCTTAGAAGTCGATATGTAGGCCTTCATTTAATTGGAGAACACAAGAGAAAATGGAAATATTGTTCATTTGGTAGGTTTTCTTTTGTCAGGATTTCAGGCCTGAGAGGCTTTAGTTAACTTCTTTTTGGAGATGTAGATGGATGAATTATTATTAAAAGTCACAACTAATGCTGGGGGCAATGGGGCACACTTGTAATCCCAGTGGCTTGGGAGGCTGAGGCAGGGGGATTGCCAGTTCAAAACCAGTCTCAGCAATAGCAAGGCACTAAGCAACTCAGTGAGACCCTGTTTCTAAATAAAATACAGAAAAGGGTTGGGGATGTGGCTCAGTGGTTGAGTGTCCCTCAGTTCAATCCCCAGTTCCCTAACCCCCCCAACAAACAAACAAAAAACAGCTAATGTTTGTGACATACTTACCATTTGCTAGATGTGGAATATAACACTAAACATGATTCAGTTCTTAGCACCTCTCTATTGGGTTTTTGTTACCATTATCCCCATTTTATAGTTAAATTAGTAGCATAAGTTCATATTGCTGATACTCAATGGGGTCAGGGTCCAAAATTTGGCCACTGCGCTCCAGAGCTTTCCTTCAGATTTCCTGCAGTGCCTTCCTATAATTGTAGTTTTCTGCATATACCTTGGCTATGCAGAGAAGTTTTTGGTTATCTCAGAATTTACTTAGGGAACTAAATTAGCTCTTATCTGTGATGTTCAGCATTTTACTTTTCATTATAGAGAATGCCTCTGACCTAAGGTGATATTAAAAGTGCCAAGTCATGATGAGATTTTAGCATATTCCAGAGGATGGCTTCAAACCCAGATGTAGAGGGATTAGCCCAATGAACTCTTAGAATTACATTAAAAGGTTCAGAGTTCTCATTTTATAGAAAAGATAAGGTTTTATACATATTAAATGAGATAAGGGATCTATTTCATGTGACAGAGTGTCTGAAACTGTCAGTATGTTGCTGCCGACAGAGGCTTGACTTCAGCCCAGCAGATGTCAGGAGAGCATTGTGTGAAAGAAGTCATGGCTGTAATCTTATCAAGCTGTGTGTCCTTCCTGCACTGTGGAAGTGGGGTTGGTTGGTTAAGTGGCTTGATTCTCCTCTGTTCTCAGAATGGGTTAATCCCCTTCTAGGAAGTAGCCATTAGCTCAGTGTTTAAAGATTAAGAAGTGACATCTCAGGAAGACTGAAGGGGATTTTGTGTCTTGTTCAATAAGACAAATTAAGGGCCAATTAACTCCATGCATCTCAGCGATTTTCATCCCATTCATTTCATGACAGTAAGAAATGTGAAGTGCTTTTGGGAAATACCTGAGAGTTGGAGTCAGAAGACTTGAGCATGAGTCCCAGTCTTATTCTCTTGACCTTAGACAAGACCTTCGACAAGAAACTGGATCTTCTGAGCTGTATTTTCATTGTCTGTAGAGTGACGATGATGCCACTTCTATCTGGCAGGATGACATTGAGGATCAGCTGAGGTCTTCTTAATGAAAGACAAATGTAAACTCTCAGAAAGGATGGAGTCTTGATTCTTGGAGCATTATTCCCAATAACCGCAGCTTCCCACTTTCTTCTGGTCTTTTCACCATTCACAAACTTTTCCTTGCTTCACTAATTCTGCATCTGGTTTCTAGCAGGTTTTTTTTTTAATATTTATTTTTTAGTTGGAGACAATATCTTTATTTTATTTATTTATTTTACGTGGTGCTGAGGATCGAACCCAGGGCCTCACATGTGCTAGGCGAGCGCTCTACCGCTGAGCCACAATCCCAGGCCTCTAGCAGGTTGTTGAAAAGCTATGTTTTGGAAATGTTTGCATTCCACAGGACCCAAGCAAGACATGACGAGAATTAATTTTTTTTTTCCCTCACTACTCTCATTTTAACTTTCAAGGGAGCCAGAGACCGTTGAGAGACAAAACTAAATGAAACTATTTGTTGTGAATTTCCTACTGTTTATCTGAATAGCAAAGGCCCTCTTTCTGATGTTTGTTCATAATTCATTTGGCATGAACATTTACACAAGCACAGTTTAGTCATCAAAACCCTCTGTCAGTCTTGTCTTCTCAGGTTCTCTGTAATCTTGATTGACTTATTCCACATTGTTAAGATTTTCAGAGGTCAAGGGGGCCTTCATTTATTGTTTTTATGGTTTATCCAACAGATAAGTCTAGACGCCTCCTTGATCTCCAAAAGGTGGGCTCATTCTTGTGTGGTCAGAAATCCTTGGGATCCATTGTTAGCCGTGGAGGAAGTTTCAAGGATAGAATGGGCCTGTGGAGCAGGCCTAGAGGCACACACATCATCCTGATTCCAGGCAATAGTGACAGCTCTTCAATAGTTATAAAATAACTGAACTTGTAGGACAAAGCAATATATTTTTACCATTGTTTTCTAGGTACCACCTTTGACCCATTTGGAGCACCTTCTAAACCATCAGGTCCAGATTTGCTGGGTTCTTTTCTGAGCACATCCAATGCCTCCAGTGACCCCTTTCTTCAGCCCACGAGAAGCCCTTCACCTACAGTGCATGGTAAGAAAGTATCTTACATTGTGTTTAGTGGAACATAATTTTCCACAAGATATCAGTAAGAAATAAAAGTATCCTTTGGGTGCCTTTTTGGGTCAGTGTGTGTGGGGAGCTTCGTAATATATCTCTCTTTTGGAGATTAAAAATTTACATTAGCATATTAAAATCTCTGAGATGTCTTACAAGACAGAAGCCTGCTTTATTTTACTTAACTTTTCTTAAAACTTACTTGACTGGGATATTCCTTTTCACATGAGAGTTATGTACACAGAAGCATAAGGCACTGTTGATTGTACTGCCTATCATTATTTTGTGTACCAATAGAAAAAGAAAAAGAAAAAAAAGCACTGTCAATTTTAATTGATTGGAAGATATGTCTTGCTTGGAGAAATTTTTGAAGTGTGGAAAAATAGCAAACTTCAATTAATGAAACATGGTGTTAGCATTCCATGAAATTAGTATTCTATAGAACAAAGTTTGGGATAGACCTCCCTTATTTATTAAAGACATATATGGCTGCAGAGTCCTGGAAATGTGACTAATATGACATGAGACATGCTTTAAATATAAGATATATACTAGATTTCAAAACTTAACATTCAACAAGACCATAAACTATCCTGTTAATATTTTTTATATTGATCGCTTATTAGAATGATATTTGGGTTATATTGTTAAATAAAAAGTATGTTTAAAATTAATGTTACTGATACCATTTTACTTTTTAAAATGTAACTACTAGAAAATTTAAGATTACATATGGACCCACATTATATTTCTATGGCAGAGATTTAGGGCGTATGGAAAAAATAGCAATCATAATGATGTGTTAGTGCAGCAGGAATATATTGCTCAGGTTATACTGATTACAACTGGAGCTCTTTGGTTAAGGGAAAATGGCTTTAAGCCAAATTGGTGCTTTCTACTGATGTTGACTATCAATCACTAGCTTCAACCTAGAGGGCAGTGTAATATTGAAGTACCTTAAACTTAAGGGTTAATGGCATCTAATTATCAGTTTGATCTTGTGGAAGTCATGTAAATGCAAAAGGAAGATGAGCTGTGCAGCATTGGTCAAACTATAACTTGGCTAAAAAAGAAAAACCCATCTAGGAACAACTTTTTTTAAAAAAATATTTTATTTATTTATTTATTTATTTGGTTCTGAGGATAGAGCCCAGCGCCTCGCACATGCTAAGTGGGCGCTCTACTGCTGAGCCACATCCTGGCTCCTAGAAACAAATTTTATGGGTGATTTCCAGCAGTTATTTTCCCCTATACTGAGGATTAAATCTAGGAACATGGTACCTCTAAGCTATATTCTCCATACCTTTTTAAAAAAACATTTATTTTTTAGTTGTAGTTAAACACAACATCTTTATTTTATTTATCTGTGTGGTATTGAGGATCAAACGATCAAACCCAGGGTCTTGCATATGCGAGGTGAGTGCTCTACCGCTGAGCCACAACCCCAGCCCTCCCCAGCCCTTTTTATTTTTTATTTTGAGACAAGTTCTCACTAAGTTGCCCATGCTGGTCTCGAACTTGCAATCCTCCTGCCTCAGCCTCCTGCATTTCAACTGGTCTTTACTCTTAAACTATTTGAAATGGGTCCATAGGAAAATACACAAGAAATTTGCTTCTCATACATGAGTGGTGCTCTCTTATTTATTTTTAGTTGTCAATGGACCTTTATTTTATTTATTTATATGTGGTACTGAAGATCAAATCCAGTGCCTCACATATACCAGGCAAATGCTCCATCACTGAGCCACAATCCCAGCCCCGAGTACTGCCCTCTTAAAGACTGTCTCCTCCATGCTTCTAAGATATATATATATATATATATATATATCTGTCACAGGTAACTCAAAAGAACGAATGAAATAAAATAAAATAAAAGTTTTAAAAAGTTGTTATTTTTGCTTACTCCTTTACAATGTAAGTCTTGTCATGATGGTGCTCAAAATGATTCCATTTCATACAACATGAGAACCGAATTGTTGCAATGGCGTGTGTAGACCCTGTATGCCTTAGCAACCTCGTGCCTCTTACCTCATTTCCCATTTTCTTCCCCTTGCTCTTATCTTTCCAACCCTACTGGCCTCTTTGATATAGCACCAGTTCTCCCCTCTACCTCAAATACTTCTTCCTAGACATCTGTGTAGCTAACTCCTTCAATTCCTTTGAGTTGTTTGTTGCTCACTGTTACTCTCTCAATGGGGTCTAATTTGCTTCATTTCAAATAGCAGTTTATTGTCTGCCCTGTTCTGCATTTCCCTTTCCATTGTACTTATTAACTTCCAATACATGGACTCACTTACATATGCATTACGTGTATTTTTTGTTCTTACTAGAACATGTGTCCCACAGTGGCAGGGATTTTTTTTTTTTTTTTTTTTTTACCATGAATGTGTCCCTACTGCTTGACAAGAATAACTGGCACACAGTAGGTGCTATCTTTCTAATATGATTATTAAATGAATGAACTCAATTTTTGTCCTACCAAAGTTTCTTAGATGCCCGTGCTGGTGAGTGTAAGGTCATACAATGAGGTTAATGCTCATTTCCTGAGGTTAATGCTTTGAAGTTACTGTTTTGATGGCAGTACTTCTTTTGATACCCCTGGACATGAATGCTCTTACTTCAGCCTGGCAAATGGGATTTAGTTCTGGTTTTTGTGAGCTGATTAGACCCAGCTTAGGCCAAGTAGCACTCCTTTATTTTGTAACTATGTTTCTCATCTTGGTATGTCATGCCAGTGAGTGAGAATTTTCCATTATCCTTTTTGGGAAAGAAATTATTATTCTACTGTTAGTCAATTACATCATCTTCACGTGGGACAGCACATAGGTAAGAGTCTGATGTCAGCATGGGGAGGTCAGATCACCCACCTCCAAATCCTTGGGGTGCTTCTCCCAGGTTTCAAATAAGCTATCATCAATCTCCTCTAAAGAATCAAGAAATTTGAGCTCAATAAATATTTATTGAACAGCTATCCTGAAGAGAATAATCACTAGGGAAATGTTGTTGGAAGCACAAGTAAACAACTAACCATAAAGAAAGGCAAAATAGAGTTTTAATTATTAGGTAGTTGTTATTATTTTTTGGTTACATATTCCTATCTCTGGCTGATTGAAAGTTCTCAGGGTTAGGCAGTGTGTCTTTTAGGTTTCTGCTCCTTGGTATGGCTCCTTGCATATGGTAGGTAGTTATCAGGGATTTGTGGGTTTGATTGTTAATAAGTTTGAAGTGCTAGTGATTTGTAGGGATATAAGACTAAGATCAGAGTTTAAGGGAAATCAGATAGCAAATTTGTCTAATTTCCACTTCAGATTTCATGTGGGAAAAGAAGGGAGGAGCAGAAAGGAAAGAGTCATTATTGCCGATAATAGTGTGTGCTTTTTAACCTACAAATGGGAAGCATACTTTGTGTTTGCATTTTACTTACTCATTTTTATGGGCAAAACTTAATGGTACCTTAGAAAGAAATTCTTTCTTACAGCAGAACATTTCTTTCAAATTCTATGTTTGGATCTTTGAGAAGGGTCAGAATGATCTATTTTGAAGCTGTAATAGGTTTCTGTTGAGTGACAAGAGACACACCCCTGTCACCAGCATAGTGGGTGGTATTCAGTCATTGCCCAATACATGCTCTAAATGACTCATAATTCTCAGTTCATGTCACAACAGAGGAGAAAACAGAATTTCAGTTCTAAGTGGATCATGCTTCAGTACCCTTGTTAATGCTGAGCTAAAGTGAATTGAGTTTCCTTTAAAATTGGATTTTCCCCCAATTTTCTTATTGCCCACTCCGTTAAGTATAGAGGTGGGAAACACAAAGTTGAATGAGAATTCTTGCCTTCAAGGGAGCCACAGTTTAATGAAGACAGACACACACAATTATAATCCCAAGTGGGTAAACACTGCGGTAAAACAAAGGTGGTGCAAAGAAGGAACAGAGGTGAATAATCTATGGCTTCTCTGAAGCCTTATGTGAGCATCCATAGAGAAAGGCAGAAAATGCTAAGTGCTACAGAGTGTGGAGGCAGCTCAGGAGATGTGAGTGGTGGGAACTTGAGAAGCTAGGCAGGCTCTGTTGAAGGGGTGGCTTTGTCCTATATAAACTCAAGAAAGTGGCCTCTGAGGGATCTTGTTCTCACTCTTTTTCTTCTCCCCCTTTGTAGCTTCTAGCACCCCTGCTGTGAACATTCAGCCAGATGTCTCTGGAGGCTGGGACTGGCATGCTAAACCAGGTAAACGCCAGCAGGTTCTTTTTGGTACACATTTAACCAATTGCTAATTGCAAGCATAATCCTTCACCCAAGATGAGGTGAATACCTATAGGGGGTTATAGCCCACCTATGTAGTTTGTGTTCATCATCCCTAAAGATGACATGATGACATGACAGTACTACTTCTCACTCTCACCTGCCAAATATCTATCTTGACAGTTGAATCAGATCCAATGCGTGTCTAACTCTACCACTTAGAAACTTTTGAATTTTTTGATAAGTTTATAACTCAGTTTTCTTATCTACAAAATGGGGATAATAATTTTTATCTCCACAGTTATGTAAGTTGTGAAATAACAAATGTTTTCACTGAATAAATAAGAATACTTTTTCTTCGCAAAATGCTTGTTTTGGGTTGGATCTGTTTGTAACTTTCTCATGGCTACTTTGTCTTCAACTGGGAACTGTCTGTGTTCTCTGTCACTGAGTTCCTAACATTGTGTTCGAGCACGCGCCCGCACGCACACACGCGCGCGCACACGCACACATACACACACACACACACACTAACAAGGTACTTAGCACAGTTTTCTGAGTCAGTTGTTGTTTCCTTTTGTTTTCATTATGGCTTTTAAAAAGTCATTACATAAAAATGTATTTTTCATACAATTTCCAAGAATACAGTCAACACATGCATATTGTACAACAGACCCAGAACCCCCTGACAATCATGCATGATTGAAACTCCACATCCACCAAAAAACAATTTCCCATCTCTCGCTCTCTTCAGCCCCAGGTAATGATTGTTCATCGTTCTACTTTCTGTCTAGGAGTTTGTACACTTTAGATACCTTACATAAGTGGAATCTTACAGCATTTTTCTTTCTGTGATGGGTTATCTTGCTTCACATGTCTCAAGTTCATCCATATTGTACTACATGACGACAATTATTTCTTTTTAAGGCTGAATAATCTTCCCTATTACATATATGCCACGTTTTCTGTCTTTCACTGTCAATAGGCACTTAAGTTGCTTCTGCCTCTGGGCTGTTGTGAATAGCGCTACAATGAACGTGGGTGTGCAAATAGCTCTTTGAGTTCCTGCTTTTAATTCCTTAGATTTATACCCAGAATTAGGGTTGCTAGATCATAAGATAGTTCTACTATAAAATTCTTGAAGGACCTTCATAACTATTTTCTACAGAAGCTGCACCATTTTACATTCCTACTGATAGGTGCCTAAGGATTCTAGTTTTTTCACACCCTCCCCAGCACTTGTTATTTTCTGTCATTTTGATAACAGCCATCCTAACAAGTGTGGGGTCGGTCATATCTCATCATCATTTTGATTTGCATTTTCCTAATGGTTAGAGATGTTGAAAATCTTTTTATATGCTTGTGGCCATTTATAAGTTTTCTTTGGAGAAATGTGTATTCAGGTTCTTTAACTATTTTTCAACCATGTTATTTGTTATTGAGTTATAGAAGCTCTTTATATATTCTGGATATTAACCCCTTATCAGATATACAAGTTGGTGAATTCTTTCTTTCATTCCATGATGTGTCGTTTTACTCCGTTGATTGTTTCCCTTGCTGTGCAATTTTTAAGTACAATGTAGGACCATTTGTCTACTTTTTCCTTTTATTGCCTGTGATTTTGATTTTGTAGTATTTGCTTTAAAAAAAATAGTAAAATGTTGAACTCAAAAATGCTGGGCAAGATGCCCAAGGTCACTTAGGTAGGAAGAAGCAGAGCCAGAATTCTTCCCATCCAGGCCTGACTCCAAATGCCATAAGAAAGAATGAAGTCAGGCAACAGGAGAGGGAAACAATGAGAATCATAATTACTGTGTGTGGCCAGGAAAGAGCATGTGCCTGTTCTGTGCCTTGTCCTTGTCCCTGTCACCTTTCACCAAGTCAGAGAAACAGGGTCTAGAAACTCCTGATACATTTCTAAACCCTGTCCTAATTTGGGTAGTAGCTCTAGAATTCTGAATTTTAGAATTCAGTCTTTGAGAACTGACTCATTTTCAATACTCTTATTTCCTTTCTAGGAGGTTTTGGGATGGGAAGCAAATCAGCTGCCACCAGCCCAACAGGATCCTCACATGGCACTCCTACCCATCACAACAAGCCCCAGACTCTGGATCCTTTTGCTGACCTTGGAACACTAGGTACAAGCATTGCAGGTTAAAATATAAATTTCAATTGAGGCTAAAAAGCTATAAATACAAATCTCGGTCATCACAACTGTCACTGCTACCCAGGACCTAAAATAGTACATACACTTAAGCTATATTCTGCAAGTTAAAATTGACGTTTTTAGAAAAGGCATTAAATATTGGGTTGGAAATAATTTCTATTAATTTATTTCTCTATTATTGCCTGATCTTGATAATAGCCATCCTAACATGTGTGAGGTCATATCTCATCATCATTTTGATTTGCATTTCCTTGATAATTAGAGATGCTGAGAATCTTTTTATATGATTGTGGCCATTTATAAATTTGTAACATGAATGAAGTTAGAGCTTCTGGAAGCATATGACACTAAGGTTTGACTGTAACAAAGGTAATGTGTAGAGAAATGGCCAGAGATGAGGGTGGTCAGGTGGCTTTGTATCACATGACGCCACCCTTGCAGAAACCTTACTGTGAGGGTCTCACTCTCTTAGTCTTCTTGCTCCCCTTAACCACACTCTGTGTGGTCAGTTTATAAAATACTATACAAAAAAAAAATCAACTCTCTTGGTCATATTTCATGTTTTTCACCATAAGTTAACAGAAGATACAGGACAAATGTTCTGTGAGCAAGTGAGTTTGGAAAACACTGGGTTTGGTGGACTTTGATTACTGCAAAACTTTTGAGAGTTAGTATTCATGCTGATGCCCTTCCATGGGGATATGATAGTGAACCTGTTTTACTGAGGAACCTATGTTCAAGGAGCATTCATTGAAGTACATGGTCTAAAACTCATTCTTTCTTCTTTCCTTCTCTAGGGCAGTCCAGAGTGGTTAAGTAAGCACTGGGTGGCCCCGACACAAAGGTTTGCATTGGCCATGTTAATAGTCTGTGTTCTCAGAAACTCCTCCTGAGACATTCAAAGCCAAATTATCTTCAGGCCGTGTGAACATGGCTGCCATTTTTTTTGCCAGTCATTGTGTCAGAATCCCAACTTTGCATTTATACTCTTTAGATGTATTTTTCTTTTTAAGAAATTTTGAAATTATTTTGTAGAGTCATCTTCTTCTCTTCCCTTCTTTGTATCTTAATGTAAATTTCAAAGTTTTAAGTAATAACATTAGGTGAAATTCTACTTAAAATACCACTGACTATTCATTTTTT